GGATTCATTCCTGACATTATGTGTATTTTTGAAAAGTTCGGTATAATGTATTTCCTGAATCATTTCATCTTTATCGAATTCGTACCTCCTAAAGAATGCTGGTGTTTTTTTAACGTTTTATATGAACAGTATATAAACAGTAGGCCAGAGCTTCACAGGTTCGCTCGGATTCATTCTTGCCAAGGAGTAAATCCAGTGTTACAGTTAAGTAAACGCAAATCATCTGTATATGTGTCTGCTTGGGAAGTAACTGAAATGGTGAAAATGTCGTTTCTTTATACTTATAATATGTCCTAATCTGTACAAAAGCAGAGACCTATTATTTGACCAAGTAGTAAACATTGTCGACATTAATGATTACATTGTGTTTTCAAACTTAGATGTTAAGGAGTAATGTTGTTTCTTTCTTGGTGATCGAAGCGTCTTTCGTCTTAATGATGATATCTGGGAATGTTTGATGATACTTGAACAATGGCCATAACAATTCATGACATACAAGAAACAGTGTGAGTGTACATTTCCAGTGCGTTTTGTTATGTAATAATCTCGACTTGCGAGGAGATAAAGCATGTCTGTCAGTCTGCCTGTCCGTCCGTCAGTCGCAACGTTTCAAGACCGACTTTCCCTTTGTCAAGCTATGACCCTTGAAACGTTGCGACATTATTAATACGTGTATTGTACATTGTTGGTGTATAAAACAAAACTTCGACATTACACATTTCCAAACTGATGAATCCTATTGATACAATTCTCGTTGTTTAACAAACCTGAATTCAGGCTTGGTAAATATATTTTTTATCGGGGTGAAATTCGAATTAATTGGAAGTGGCACAAATCCGCCATCGTACATAAAACCTACCGTAGAAGTGGAAACTGTTTCGGTGAGGAAATGCTCTCGTATTAGCGTTGAGTAATTTACTCATATAACTGTACAATTGTTCAACAAAATATCTACACTTTTTAGGGTCAGAACGCGAATATTTCCACACTAGGGAATTCCAATTTTACAGTTTATATATTGGAAGTCCGAGGGTATTGTGAAAACCCAAGGCCATTTTGACATTGACACCCCTATGACATAACCTTTGCACCGCCACGTTATTCGGACAACGGACCAAATCAGTGCAGTCGCTGCCGTTGAGAGAATATACGAGTGACGTCTTACCGTTTATATCACCGGTTCAGATGGCACCTTACTCAAGTCTCCGTATAACCAGCATCAAGTAACAACGAAACAACTTGCTACAATATACATTACTGTTATTTTTATTTTCACATACAGGTCATGAAAGACACAATATCAGTCACGTGATCAGGCGCTTTGAGTTTTCTTTGTTTGACAAACATTTGTGTATGGGTAAATAATGACGAAAGTTAGCTCGAGCATTTTAAATATTCTCATGTTTACTCTCTCTCTCAGACGCTTTACTCTCTCTCTCAGACGCTTAGAATTAAACAAGCATCTTCGTCACAGTACTAGTTGTTATTTACTTTGCGTAGGAATGGCACGATATGTATATAGAGGTACATATGTAACACATTCTACTTTCAGGGATGTCCATATTTTTGCTATATAGCAATTCAATAATACAAACAGAAAATCCACTAGGATTTTATTTCCTTTAAGTTTAAGATAGTAATTTAAAGCGAATAATAACACAAATGTAACTTAGTGATAAGTTCTATGAAACCACTTCATATAAAATATAAAAAACTTTTATCTTATAGAACACATCAGGTGTTCTAGAAAAATGTTGTCACAGAACACATTCCAAGTAGAAAGTCGCATCGTTTTACCAAAGGACCTTGTTACTCCAAACAATAGCTCGATACTCCGAACAGTGACTCGCTACTCCGGATAATCAGTCGTTATCTGTTGAGAGAATGTGAGAGTTAACATGTAATACAAGCGCTTAGAAAGCCAGTTTCCGGAATACCATTAGAAGTCCTGATTAAGGATTCATTGTATATAAACAAATACTGTATAACACAGGCAATGTCTAATCATACTAAACTTTAACATAGACCATGATTATTAAAAACAAGTATACTAATAACATAGGAAGAATAATTTACCCGAGTGTATAACATAGACCAGTGGATTTAACATATTTATGTTTAATATTGGCAATGGTTAACTAGGGTATATAACAAATACATTCTCACAAACACACTGTCATATACATCATATACACCATATACACCATATATACGTCATGTACAGGCGATGGTAAACCCGATTAATCTTAACTTTCACACACATACGTACAAGTATATATAAACAATGGTTAACCAAAGTAATCAAAACATAACCAAACAAACTTATTCTCTAATCCACACACATTTGAAGATTAACACGCTGATAAAACATAGTTAAAATTGACATAGACAACGTTTGACTATGATTTTAACAAAAACATTAGTTATCTAGAATAGGAAATGACTGATCATCTCAATGTTCAATATAGGCAATGGTTAAAAAGAGTTGTCAACATCATTTTTGGTAATCCACGGTAGCGTTAACATAGACAATAGTTAATCAGAGTTGTTATAATCGTTTTAGATAATTCACGGTAGCGTTTAATCAGCATTAGTAATATCAACAATGGTCAGCCATATTAAGTTGTACTTGCAACGGTTTATCATTGAGCGTGCATAAAACATGGCAATAATTTACTTTGGTAAAGTATCAATTATATTTTGTATTGTTATCAGCCACTCTATAATTTAGGTATTTTAAGGCCAGAATTCAATAGACAATGGTCAACCAATCATTTGAAAGTACAACAAAAAGAGCCGTTACCTAATGTTAGGTTTAACGTACAATGGTTAACCATAGTAATGTATAACATAGCTAATGGCCATACAAGGTAACATACACAATGATCATCCATAGCGATGTTCACATAAACTGTTGTTTAGCATAATAATGTGTAACATAGGTAACATACCCAATGATCATCCATAGCGAGGTTAACATAAACCATTGTTAACCATAGTAATGTATAACATGGGTAACATACACAATGAGCATCCATAGCGATGTTAACATCAACTGTTGTTTACCATAGGAATGTATAACATAGCTAATGGCCATACAAGGTAACATACACATTGATCATCCATAGCGATGTTCACATAAACTGTTGTTTACCATAATAATGTATAACATCGGTAACATACACAATGATCATCAATAGCGATGTTAACATATCCGGTTCTTTATCATAGTAATGTATAACATAGGTACCATACACAATGATCATCCAAAGCGATGTTAACATAAACTGTTCTTTACCATGGTAATGTATAACATAGGTCACATACACAATGATCATCAATAGCGATGTTAACATAAACTGTCGTTTACCATAGTAATGTATCACATAGGTAACATACACAATAATCATCCATAGCGATGTTCACATAAACTGTTGTTTAGCATAATAATGTGTAACATAGGTAACATACACAACGATCATCCATAGCGATGTTACCATAAACTGTTCTTTACAATAGTAATGTATAACATGGGTAACATACACAATGATCATCCATATGGATGGTAACATAAACTGTTGTTTACCATAGGAATGTATAACATAGCTAATAGCCATACAAGGTAACATACCCAATGATCATCCATAGCGATGTTAACATCAACTGTTGTTTTCCATAATAATGTATAACATAGGCAACATACACAATGATCATCCATAGCGATGTTAACATAAACTATTATTTACCATAGAAAAGTATAACACACACAATGGTTTACCACGAAAAGTAGCATATGAAAAGATAGGACATAACAGTAATATGATATTAACTAGACGCCACTCCGTATTGTAACTATATGCCCATTACAATCGAGTGAAAAAATATGTTCTTTCCGCTCAATGTCAAACATTTAATAACTAACATACACATTCCAATTCATTTTTTTTTTTTTAGTTCGTCTCATTGAAATGGCCAAATATTGTCTTTATTTTGCCCATGAAATTGTCCAGATTAACATTGTCTTTTCGTATGCATTTTTGACCGATTTTGAAAAGTTTAGCAAGTATAAATCTGCTGTAGTATTTGATTGTTTTAGATATTTATCAAAATAATAATATGCACAACCAAGAAGAACCTGTTCATATGAAGTTGTTCTGACAATTAATTGCCTTCAGAATGGTTTATTTCCTAAATAGGCTATGCCAATGAACATTTAATGACGGTCTGTATTTTTACATCGTTTGTACGTAGAATTGCACTTTTTCTGTTATATCTTGTATCGAATGATAGCCACCCACTCGTTCCTGGTATTAGCAGACAAGCTTACGCTGACAATAAGGGTTAAGTATTGCTTTAGTTAATCTCGTTGGTGGATGAATTGGCTTGGTCCTAAGACAATTTCAACATGGGCTGCTTCGCAGTTCATTCAGTTTTGTCTCAAAACGAACTACATTCATCACCTCATGTAATCCACGGAAGCAGTTATAATCAGTATTGACGACCCTATCACGCTGAGCATTGCCGTGTGTCGATAGACTCGAGTAAGTCGATGTTAATATACAGTTATTCTGTGTTTGTCCACCTGCATGATTGATTTGGAAATGCAATACTATTCCTTAGCATTCTGTTCGCAACAAAAACAAAGAAACCATTGAATTGAAGAAAACAAAAAACAAGCCAATAGTTTTAGAGTGCTACCAACTGTGTTCCAGTGATACCGTTTAGTCCACCCTTTATTCCGTGTATTACACCTGATATACACGTAAATTACGTCAGTTATACAATTTTATCACATACCTGTTTTTTCAGACCATGAAATACAACGTTCTGTATGGCACATGTGCAATACGAAATGTTGTATTTACCTACTAGCCGGAACTACTTTTTATGGGAATTCCCTGAAAAGTTCCCGGTATTTGCAAAACATATCGAAGTTTATAAAATCTTTGAATCAATCTCCTCCAAATACGGAAGGTATGTGATAAAAGCAAGACCACACACTTGTTTTTTTCTAACGGATCAGAAAGCACGAGTTTATTGCGCGGATGAATATATTCACTCGATGCGCTCTTGCATATGTTTGTCACCATTAATTCTCATTCACTCATCCTTTCAAGTACAGTATTTCTCATAAAATATTCTAGCATGATACAGAAATTTAACTGTCTTGGCGTGCAGGTATGACTGCAATCTTTGTGACGTCATAATGTCTCGAACTTTTGACAGATACATACACGGGTTGAACATGCAGACAATTTTGTAGTCAAAATACTGGCTCAGTAGTCGGTATCATTATAACCTTAAACACAACTAGTAAATAGGTTATTTCGACCATTTCCGACAAGGTCCACATTTCGAAAGAATTACAACTTTGAGGAACTCTGAGAAATATTATACACTATACTATACATTTTTATCAGTCAACACTATATATTTTACATGTCAAATTTTGTTATTAAAACTACCGTTGTATGAGCATGTAGGGAAATCGGTATGTGAGGTAGGCGACACATGGAGAGGTACACTTGTATAATTAGTACGTCAACTGACTTTCTATCGAGGCCATTGTTTGGTCTGTGATGCATAAAAAGATACAATACAAAGATTTGTTTTACGTTTACACCTCAGGGTATTTTTTGGATTACGTCAAACAAACTATTCTTAACACGGACATTTTCAGGTTTTAACACCGTTGACTTCGGGTAATTTTTTTTTGAGATTTCTGCTGGAAATTTTGTACGTATGTTCATGATATATTAAAAAAAAAGAAGTGGATATGCAAAAATAATTTCAAACACGAAAGCACAAAAGAAAAAAATATGATTAACTCCCTTTAATTTGCTAATAAAACAGGTTGAACTAAAATCGCTTCAGATATCTGAAACATATCGGAGGTGTTTACCAATTAAGTGCTTTGCAGTGGATGGGATGGGGCAGGCATTTTAACTGTAGCATCACGTGCTCACACAATCAACAACAACAACAACAACAACAACATTAACAAAATCATGAATCAGTCATATTTCTTGGAAATAGCAGGCTACAAATCGGCCAACGGATGAGTAAATGGTTTGAAGGAACTCCAAAAGAAAGACAGCTACAAGTCAACGCACTGACGAGAAAAGTGTTACAAAAAATCCCAAGGAAAAAGCTATATAAAATCCGAACCTGATGACGAGGAAATCAGTAAAGTTGAACTTAACGAAAGAATACTAGAAATCAATCAATTATTGAAAAGATGATTGAATTAAACTTAAAGAAAGACTGATACGTATCAAACAAGTGATGAAGAAATGAACAATGAGAAGCACTAATGGTGATCTTATGGAGTATTTTTCGAGATTGGACTCATTGTATTGTATGTCGAGATTTAATAACCCACGTTACGTTTTATAACATATAAGAACACCCCTAATTCATGCACTATCTGCATTTTTGGTTTTCTTTACAACAAATAGTCGACCAATTCAAAACACTGCACCAAAATAACCAGTAGGCATGAACCAATGTTAAGAAATTTGTAGCTTGTGATCTTCGTTTTGTCATTCTTGTTACTAGTATGTAGTATCAAGTTACTATATCAATATTTAAAATAATAATAAAAACTCGCATTCGTTACTATAACCCGTCCACAAGAGTCAACCCTGCCTGTCATACTATTAAGTTGGTAATTTTTACTGTCTAATTATGCCATTTAAATTTATTGAAAAATAAATCGTCTGTCCAATCTGTTAGCGAAACTTCTGTTAAAATTACATCATTATCAAATTACATAACAACGAACAATCATCAACTAATAATTAGCATTGAAATGTTCTAAAACTTCTTACGATGTTGCTGTTCTTCAGAAAGAAAAGACATTTGTGCTTGTGTCTTAAATGTTACGATCACGTGTACACAAAACAATTAACATGCATTCTCTCACCCATAACATTCCTCAGGGATACACAAATATCAAAACGCTAATTAGGTGAAAATCGTACCTGGCACCGGTTCGACGGAATTAACTACAGGTCAACCCGTCTGAACAAATATAACATACCTATTAAGAAAATAATTAATATTTTTGAATACTTTTCATAGACATCAACGGATGACTACGTCATACCCCCTCAGCCCAATAATCATGTCCCACGGAGATACAGGGGACACACACTGTTATAAAGGGGTCTCCATGTTGGGGGTATTGTGCGAGTTAGACCCCGGTGATGGGGAGGGGAGGCGGAGTTGGTGGAAACCCGTGTCCAGACTAACTTGTTTCCGGGGTGACCGTGAACTTTGTAGTTTATCACACACAGGACAGGCACTTAGACTCGTGACTGCGTTCTCGCGGACGAGTATGCCCCTGCGAGGAGGTTTAGGGGACTGCCACTGTTCGGCCGGTATACGGTAGATCTGAGCTTCCTCTGACGAGCTACTGCTCACGGAGTCCTGGTCAACACTTTCCTTCTGCGACACAGAATTCATCCTTCGTTGTGACTTGTCGTAATTCTGAATCTTTATGATAGGTGTAATATGCTGAGGAGGTGTATGTTTTTGAGTTGATGACGTCTGTCTATGGCACGATGCCTGTAGAGGGCGCTGCTGAAGAGGGGGTGGTCGCAAAAGGTGAGGTGACGGCGGATTAGGTTTTTGTAGCGGAAGTGATAGAGTGTACTGCTGTACTGGAAGTGTCAATGTATGTTGTTTCACTAGTGTATGTGGTTGACGCTGCTGAGGTACGGGCGAGCGCGGTATGGGTGTTTTTGGTTGAGGGGAGCGGATAAGGGGCGTGCGCGGCCCGCTGTCTTGACTGGGCTGTGATGTAAGGTCTGGTGGTCTACCTGATCGCACCGGTTCGGATGACAAACTAGAAAACTTTGTACACTTAATCAATAAAGGTGTTTTTGGCTCTGATGAAACACTAGGGAATTTTGTGGCTTTGAGCTGTACTTTTCTACGGTTACCATGGAGACATGGCTCAATCCCTCTCAGGTTCGCATCACTAACCTCTAAAAAGGGCATACTTTTGTTAAGATCCAACGAATAATGCGAACGCGCACCACAGCTGTACTGTCGTCTCCTGGCATTAACACAGTGGCGGTTAGAACAACACTTTATATGTGGGTGTACTGTTTGCGCGGACGGGTAACTATCGTTGTTTGGAGGACATATGGTGTCCGATTTTACTTTCAAAATAATTCCACCCGGACTGAGAAACTGGTGCTGTAACTGGTGTTGTTTTTGTACCCAGTCCGCTGTGGCTATTTCCATGTCCATGACAACAACCGGAAGTTGTTTTGGTTCATCCTCAGAAAGCTGTCGGTCAAATGATATAGTGGGCCGAACTCTCCTCAATATCTCCTCTCTGTTGCACGCCCCAATGGTATTGGCATGCTCTGATAACGTTCCACTATCAAAACTAAGAAACTGAACTGGAATGCTTGACCCTTTCGGCTTAACTTCACTTTGAGCGGCATTATAGCCATCCGGGTTGTTGTCGTTTCCGTCTGAGGTTGGGGGTGCGTTTCCAAACGAATACGTCATTTGCTCGGTAGTGTCTGGAGCCCCGTAGTCGGCTTGATGTTTGAGTTTGTACTGTCCCTTTATGTACCGAAACAGACTTATTAGATGTTTTCTAACTTTAGTCCGGTAGAACACATACATTACTAGTAGTACCAACATGCCACCGAGAACTGCCGCTGTGTTGTACCCGACACTAGGATCATAGGAGTCGTAAAACTGTTTTTGCTGTTGCCGGTACCACTCTTCCGATCCGATAGGCACAGAAGCGGAGGTGTTGTTTAACTCTCCGGTAGAGGGCGCTAATGTGTCGTTGTTATTGTGCGTTGTAAAGTTTACAGTCAAGTGGTACATTCCCACTTTCGAGGCATTGTGATAGCTTCCGGTTGTTCCAGTATGTAAACCATCTCTTATCATGGCGTCATGAGGCTGAAAGTACAAAACATTGAATTAAAATATTGATTGCTAATTTGATAAAAATCGATTTTTATCACTTAAATTCATGGACACAAATATAAGACCACGTCATGCAGTACGGAACGTCATTAAAGATGACGGTTTTACTTCTGTTATCTTGTTATAAGAACAGTTAACAGTTAACCCTCCATAGGACACTTTGTTTTGTGAAAACATTATTCAATTTACAAGCATTTCTCCCTGTTTTAACACTTATCGGTATGCGGAGTTCACAGTAAACTTGAGGTGAAGCATGAACAAACCCAGTAATATTTTGATGGCGGAAAGTACTTAAACTGACACCACACTATACTCCTAAGGGTGCCAACCGGTGTTACATGTACCAACAGACAAACTACGAGAAAATGTAACAGAGAAACAGCTAGGCCAGTACGCGTACTAGAACATCGCTTTACATGTGGTCTGTCTGTGGAGGAGACTCTTTAGGGGGTATCTGTTGGATATAACGTTGATAGCTATGCACCTGATGTAATGCCCCACTAGGAAGCGTATACGGGTTAACCTTTTTGTACAACAATGGGAATTCCACACAAAAAACACGGAAGAAAGGCATGGTTTTTATATATAATGTATACTATAAATCACAAAAAGTGAAGACTTTTTTTCATTTCTGTACATTATGATAGACGTTTTAACATACCTCGCATCCAAAAATAGCTGTTCGCTACTGCAATTTACTTTATTTTATGTATCTCAGTAGTAAGTTTCGATTGTTATGTCTAAGCGTAATTATTTTGTGCCTTCGCTTAGTAGCACATGTTTGTATTGCTTTGTCTTTCATGAAGTATAATATAGGGAGTAATATTATTTTATCCAGTCGGCAGTCTCCAAAATTTATAACTCGGTATATGTGGACCAATATGCTCCTCGGGGAGCGACGAACTTTTATATCTCAGGTTAGCTAGCTCCACTGAGGATAAACACCAAACAAACAAGATCGTTATACAAAAAGTGATTGGGTGTATTCTGTACAAAAGTGTTATGACTGTGTAGTAACCTTATTTCAGTATCCCAACCGTTTTCAACCGTTCACATTAAGCAATCTCCGAATTAAAAAACAACTGTCTTCGTTTCCGGTTAGAAATTTCCAACCAGCCAGCAGTTTCCTGAATTTTCTACCAGTCAAAATCAGTGGTTGTCAACTATGTAATAAGCGGTCACATGTTTTAAACCAGATTTATACAAGGTCTAGGGGGTTCAAGCAGTCGGCAATAGATACGGATTTCAACCAGTTCGCGGTCTCTTAATATGTCATCCAGTCAACGGTATATAAAAGATTACAACCATTCAGCGATCTCCAAAGTTTTGACATGAAAACGCATTTCTTTAACCGGTATGTGTAACCCTTATCCGAACAGTTGCATTGTTTTAATTTTATCATTAAAAAAGAAACTTAAACTTATAGGAATGGTAATTGATACAAACATATATTTCACGACATTTTGGCATCCGAATATGATCTGATAAGATAAAGTTATGTAAAACAGTTAAATTCATTATCCTATTAGGTAATCTCTGCACTAGAAACGCTTTGCTTTGATGTCGTAGACCGTATGTAATGTAGATCTCTAATCTGCTGAACAACCTTAGCCCAAGGCACTCACACATGGAGAATTGGGACATAGATCGGGAATACTTCCACAAACTCTCCTGTTTATTAGGCTGATACGCCCTATCAATGGTAAAAGTTGATATCCAAATGCATGCCTGTCTCACTCGACTCTATTTGTCAGTGGGATCACGGACTTTGATTCCGTGGTGGGATGCTAGGCTGCAGACGGACTGTGGTCTTGAGCGCTGATAAATGTAACTAAAGGTAACAGCGGGCACAAGGGAGTCACAGCGGGTACAACTCGGGTCATACTCGCCAGTTTTATACCGCAGAGACCTGGGAATTAAATCGATTAAACATCGAATCAGACGGGAGCTTTTATCCTACTGTGCTATGACAGCAGTACACCCACTCATCCACAGCATACACATTTCGTTAGGTTGGATTTTCTTACCCTTACCGAGGTTCAACAAGTCCCTTAAAAGATGGGTTTTCAACCAAAACGGTCAACCCCTTGATAAGTCATTTCAAAGACCCCAAATGAACATAAAAACCAAGTATGTTATATGGATATATTTAACTTGCACTTTAGTTACCAAAATGTTAATACTTTAGGTTATGTCTTTAAAGAATAATAGTACACCGGAAATATAACATGTCAATAATATTTTGCGGCCACACTTACTACTACGAAATGACAAGGTACCCGATATTTGTTTATATACCTTGGTCACGCTGAGTTTGGTTTCTTTTTTACTATCTGTGGAGAGGCATACCGGCCTCAAGCAAAGATAGGTACATGTAGTGCCATGTGAAACCACTATGGTAATAGCAAATTCCCCCGGAATATATTTTAGATTTTTTTAACAAGAAAACCAAAGTTGAATGACCAGGACTGATAGATAATCTTTAATTTAAGTGTCAGTTCATAAAATTCTGTTATAAATACGCAAGATATTGTAACTGAGATGTGTTATAATATTTAATATTTACAATATATCTAACTTTCATACATGTAAACATATTTATTACTGTTACAAAGTCCTTGATTTTGTTTACTGCTAAAATATGTTACTCAGGCCTTTTACTATGATTTTTGTATTTCTTATAGTCACAAATATCTTAGTTTGAGGCCGGTATGCCTCTCTTTTTACAGCAAGTTAAAAAGAAATTAAGCTCCCCATGAACTTTAGATTATACATTCATTATCATCTCATTGCAATTAGTTATGTAGCAAAAGAGAATGACATGTTGTAAGTCCAGGGAACTATTTTTGTGGATACTTCAGCCTTAATGCTTCATTCTTGACTAAAATAATGTCGCTATATACCATTTCAATAGCTAATTTACAAGTTCTTGATATTTAAATTACATATCTGAATTTCGATATTCATTTAGGGAAATTATTACAATGAAAATTATTTATCAGTGAGCTGAAATTTAGGGTGAATATAGCATCTTTAAGGGGGCTTGTTAAACCTTAAATCCCTAAAACGTCTAATATTTGGTCTTTTTCATCAGGAAAGATGTCAGTAATGCATTCTATAATCCAAGCTGTACCCAGAGTTATCCCTCTTTATGCACCGTGTCTTGTGCGTAAGTGTACAGCAGAAGCAGAGGGACGATCCGATCCTTAGTAACGAGACGGGGGG